AAGATCCAAAATGATTTAAACATACAAATAAGTTAATTGATATAAATTATAAATCAACTCCGACAAACTGCCGGGTAAAAAGCTTAGTGTAAATTAGGGTTAATGACATAAATATTGTTTTTTGAAAAAAATGTACCACCAATATGGCGGATTAAAAAGTATTGACACAGTTATTGTGTTTTTGTGTAGAGTTAGAGGCGGGGCCGCTAGAGATTAAGGCGTGGCCGCGTTTTGAAATTTTTGACCCAGTCCGAGGCGCTGGCACTTGAGTCTCCAGCGCCCCCGCCTTCACCACTTATTTATTTTAAAGCACCGCGGACCTCTCCTATCTTATCTTCTTATCTTCTTCTTCCTCCCCCTCCCCCCCCCCTCCTCCCGAACCAGACCACGCCGTCGTCGCAAGCAACCCCGACCAGTCATAGGCGCCACCGCCGCAGAACGAGGCGCCGCCGCCGCCGATGCAGACAGAAGCGCCACCCCTGAGTTTGACAGAGATGTCCTCCGACGAAGACGAAGCAGTCACCGGCAGAGCCAGGGGGAGAGGCTGGCGAGTTCGTGGAGGCGGCGACTGTTTTCGCGGTGAGAGTCTCACCGGCGGCGGGTTTTTTTTTTTAATTAATGTTTAGCATTTTTTAATTAATATTTTTGTTGCTTTGCTTTTGCAGTTCCTAGGCTTATGAACCCTTATTCGATGAGACTACCGCCGACGATCCGGTACTTCTTTGGGGACATGGCCAATATCGTATCGACTCAGTTTGGGCAAACGAGGTAAGTATTTGATAATTATTCATGTAAAGTTAATTAGCTAGTTAGATTAGATTATTTTAGTTGGCGAACTGAACTGTACTGAAATTAGATTAGTATTACGTATCAATTTTTTTGAAATTAGTATAATTTGATATTAGATTAGATAGATTAGAATTTATTAGGTGAAATTAGAATTATTACGAATAAAATTGAATTAATATAAGTTTTGTGCACTATAGGCTGGTGATCGATCTTACCATGCTCGAGGTATGACCAATTTAGTGACGTACCATGAGCGTTATCAGCCATATCTCGAAGCGGCTGGCTTGTCTAGTGTTTTGCACCTGGTCCCTATGAACTCTGATGCGAGTTTGATTACTGTGCTCGTAGAGTGGTGGCGACCCGAGTCGTCGACCTTCCATTCACCGTTTGGTAAGGTCACGATCACGTTAGAGGACGTTGTGACACTGTCCGGTCTGGCGATCGACGGTGATGTCGTCGTAGTTGACATAACGGATGAGGAGTGGCCGGCAATCTGTTTGAGACTGTTAGGACGGGTTCCGCTTAATCTTTCAGGCGGTGTCAGTTTCGTTAGGACTGTTGGGCTGAGGGATGAATTCAGTCATCTGCCGGGAAATGCATCCCAGGAGGTTGCAGAGCCGTTTGCACGAGCTTATTCTCTATCTCTGATGGGAAGTGTATTGTTCCCGGATCGGTCTAGAGCTACGGTGCACCTACAGTACCTACTTCTGATTGAGGATTGGCAGAGAGCTGGACGGTTCGCCTAGGAGCAGCTGTTCCTACCTGTACCTTGAGATGTGTACGTCGGCTTTGCACATTACGCATTCCTTCACTTCTCTAGGCGGTGACCTTGGTGGATGGGTCGCCCTACTGCAGCTCTGGGGGTGGAAGCGATTCCCACATCTGACACAGTGACATTCAGAGACGAGGGCGCAGATTTCAGAGGATGCATTCCCACGTGATCTTCGATGGCTTCCGGTCAACACTCGTCAGTATTTGACCAGCTATTCCAGTACAAGCTGTGGTTTGACGAGATGGACACCATGGTGATTAGTATATAACATTTCATTTTATAGAATAGTTTTCATTTGTTTATTTTAGATTAAGCGATAATAACGTGACCATTTTTTTGTGTAGTGGCAACCTTACGTTGAGAGAGCACTTCATCTCAAAGGTAGTGTGATACAGTCTGAGAAGTTTCGAGCAGTAGTGCCACTTATCTACTTTTCATCGGTGATGTGGCACCATCCTAACCGCGTGCTCCAGCAGTTTGGCATGAGGCAGCATGAGCCTCATCCGCTACATTCTGAGGCTGAGGTTAGGTTTTTTCTTCGTCAGATTACTCGTGGGCTGGCCAGCAGTTGGTACACACCTACAGAGAATCAATTGCTTTTTGGAACCGTCGACAAGAGTTCGTAGCGATGGCTCCATACAGTGATGAGCTTTTAGACTACCACTCGGAGCATATGGAGTGGTATCGAGATATCACCAGACGTTCAGGCACACGGAGAGGAGCTGCAGCGGAGGCATTGGTTAGTTATTTGTTTGCTTAATATTTTTTTTTGTATTTGTCTTGAATTTCTTAACTGTGTGAAATTTCAGACATTTCAATTTAAATTTTAGTACTACACTTTGGAGCATGCTGAGTTGAGTTTACGTGACGGAGTACGAGCTGAAGGGATGTCCACCGACCAGTGTGAGGAGTTGGCCAACATGATGGCATCAGGGGTTGTTACTTTAGGTTTGGAGCGGCGCAGACACCCTGATCTCACAGTACCTGTATAGCCAACTTATGATCAGCCCGTCATGGCTGCCTGGCCAGAGCGTATTGATCCGACACCGGACTGGGTCATCCCGGTGCCACAGTTCAGACAGGAGCATAGCATAGGCCCCATAGGCAGCGACATGAGCATCGTGATGTACCTAACCCAGTCCGGATTTCAGATCGACAGCGATCACAGCCCGTCCGGCCTACTACGACCTTCCAGTTTAATCCGCCGTTTCAGCCAGGCACGTATTTTGGACATTAGAGTGGCGCTACTTCTTCAGGATTTCAGGCAGGACCGCATTCGGCCTTTCAGCCTCCTCCTCAGCCGCAGTTTCAGACTGATCCTTCTTCGAGCTTTCAGCCTCCTCCTCGGCCGCAGTTTCAGTCAAATCCTTCTTCGAGCTTCCATCCACCACAAGATAGCTTCCATACACCGCAACATGCTACGATGGGAGGCGAATACATGGTCTCAAGGCTCAAGTGGTAATACTAGAGCAGCCTCGTCTCCCAACCCGTGGGACGCTCTAGAGAGTGATGCGACCTTTCAAGAGACGATGTGGAATTATGAGCAACATCTTCAGTCTCAGCAGCATAGTGGAGGTGTACCTGAGGAGCATATTCATTCTCAACAGGATGATATGTTCGGTACACAGGATCAGGATGGTGGTGTCGAGGGAGATCAGCCTCAGGAGTAGGATGGTAGGCCTCCACGTAACAGGGTGTCTGCTAGGTGTGGTACTGGCGGCCATCTAGTGGCGGAGCATGGTGGTCGTCGTGGTGGTCGTTAGTGAGACTATTAAATAGTCCACATAATATTATCAAAGAAGTACATAATAATAACATAACAAAAATAATAGTCTCACTAACGACCACCACGACGACCACCATGCTCCGCCACTAGATGGCCGCCAGTACCACACCTAGCAGACACCCTGTTACGTGGAGGCCTACCATCCTACTCCTGAGGCTGATCTCCCTCGACACCACCATCCTGATCCTGTGTACCGAACATATCATCCTGCTGAGAATGAATCTGATCCTCAGGTACACCGCCACCATGTTGCTGAGACTGAATATGTTGCTCATAATTCCACATCGTCTCCTGAAAGGTCGCATCACCCTCTAGAGCGTCCCACGGGTTGGGAGACGAGGCTGCTCTAGTATCACCACCTGAGGCCATGTATCCGCCTCCCATCGTAGTATGCTGCGGTGTATGGAAGCTATGCTCTGGTGAATGGAAGCTCGAAGAAGGATCTGACTGAAACTGCGGCCGAGGCGGAGACTGAAAGCTCGAAGAAGGATCCGTCTGAAACTGCGGCTGAGGAGGAGGCTGAAAGGCCGAATGCGATCCTGCCTGAAATCCTGAAAAAGTAGCGTCGCTCCAATGTCCCGAATACGTGTCTGGCTGGAATGACGGATTAAACTGGAAGGTCGTAGTAGACCGGACGGGTTGTGATCACTGTCGATCTGAAATCCGGACTGGGTTAGGTACATTACGATGCTCACGTCGCTGCCTATGGGGCCTATGCTCCTGTTTGAACTGTGGCTCCAGGACGACCCAGTCTGGTGTCGGATCAATACGCTCTGGCCAGGCAGCCATGACGGGCTGATCATAAGCTAGATGTACAGGCACTATGAGATCAGGGTGTCTGCGCCACTCCAAACCAAAAGTAGCAACCCCCTGATGCCATCATGTTGGCCAACTTCACACTAGTCGGTGGACATCCCTCCAGCCCGTACTCCGTCACGTAAACTTAACTCAGCATGCTCCAAAGTGGCGTACTAAAATTTAAACTGAAATGTCAGAAATTTCACACAGTTAAGAAATTCAAGACAAATACAAAAAAATATTAAGCAAACAAATAACTAACCAATGCCTCCGCTACAGCTCCTCTCTGTGTGCCTGAACGTCTGGTGACATCTCGATACCACTCCATATGCTCCGAGTGGTAGGCTAAAACCTCATCACAGTATGGAGCCGTCGCTACGAACTCTTGTCGACGGTTTCAGAAAGCAACTGCTGCCTAGCCCACGAGTAATATGACGAAGAAAAAACCTAACTTCAACCTCAGAATGTGGCGGATGAGGCTCATGCTGCCTCATGCCAAACTGCCGGAGCACGCGGTCAGGATAGTACCACATCACCGATGAAAATCAGATAAGTGGCACTACTGCTCGTAACGTCTCAGACTGTATCACACTACCTCTGAGATGAAGTGCTCTCTCAACGTAAGGTTGTCACTACACAAAAAAATGATTAAGTTATTATCCCTAAATTTAAAACAAACAAATGAAAACTATTCTATAAAATGAAATATTATATACTAATCACCATGGTGTCCATCTCGTCAAATCACAACTTGTACTGGAATAGTTGGTCACCATACTGACGGGTGTTGGCCGGAAGCCATCGAAGACCACGTGGGAATGCATCCTCGGAAATTTGCGCCCTCGTCTCTGAATATCACGGTGTCAGATGTGGGAATCGCTCCCACACCCAGAGCTGCAGTAGGGCGACCCATCCACCAAGGTCACTGCCTAGAGAAGTGAAGGAATGCGTAATGTGTAAAGCCGACCTACCCATCTCACGGTACAGATACGATAAAACAGCTGCTCCCCAGGCGAACCGTCCGGCTCTCTGCCAATCCTCAATCAGAAGTAGGTACTGTAGGTGCAACGTAGCTCCAGACCGATCCGGGAACAGTACACTTCCCATAAGAAAAAGAGCATAAGCTCGTGCAAACTGCTCTGTAACCTCCTGGATGCATTTCCGGCAGATGACTGAATTCATCCCTCAGCCAAACAGTCCTAACGACACCAACAACGCCTGAAAGATCAGCCGGAACCCATCCTAACAGTCTCAAACAGATCGTCGGCCACTCCTCATCTGGTATGTTAACTACGACGGCATCACCGTCGATCGCCACAGACCAGACAGTGTCACAACGTCCTCTAACGTGATCGTGACCTCACCAAACGATAAATGGTAGGTTGACGACTCGGGTCGCCACCTCTCTAAGAGCGTAGTAATCAAACTCGCATAAGAGTTCATAGAGACCAGGTGCAAAACACAGGACAAGCCAGCCGCTTCGAGATATGGCTGATAACGTCCATGGTACGTCATTAAATTGGTCATACCTCGAACATGGTAAGATCGATCACCAGCCTATAGTGCACAAAACTTATATTAATTCAATTTCATTCGTAATAATTCTAATTTCACCTAATAAATTCTAATCTATCTAATCTAATATAAAAAAATTTGATACGTAATCCTAATCTAATTTCAGTACAGTTCAGTTCACCAACTAAAAGAATCTAATCTAACTAGCTAATTAACTTTACATGAATAATTATCAAATACTTACCTCATTTGCCCAAATTGAGTAGATACGATGTTGGCCATGTCCCCAAAGAAGTACCGGATCGACCGGAGCTGGATCAATTGTTGCCGGCGGTAGTCTCATCGAATGAGGGTACATAAGTCTAGGAACTGCAAAAGCAAAGCAACAAAAACATTAATTAAAAAAAATGCTAAACATCAATTAAAAAAAATCCGCCGCCGGCGAGACTCTCACCGCGAAAACGGTCGCCGCCTCTACGACCTCATCGGCCTCTCCCCCTGCCTCTGTCGGCGAATGCTTCGTCTTCGTCGGACGACATCTCCGTCGAATTCAGGCGGTGGCGCTTATGTCTATAGCGGCGGCGGCGCCTCGGTCTGCGACGGTGGCGCTTGTGACTGCGTCGGGGTTGCTTGCGACAGCGGCGTGGTCTGGTTCGGGCGGACACCGGAGGATGAAGAAGAAGATAAGAAAGGAGAGACCCGAGACGCTTTAAAATAAATGAGAGGTGAAGGCGGGGTGCTGGAGACTCAAACGCCAGCACCTCGGACTGTGTCAAAAATTTCAAAACACCGCCTCGCCTTAGTCTCTAGCAGCCCCCGTCTCTAGCTCTACACAAAAATACAATAACTGTGTTAATACTTTTTAATACTCCATATTGATGGTAAATTTAAAAAATAAAACAATATTTGTGTCATTAACCCTAAATTACACATCCCTCAAAAAAAACCCTAAATTACACAGGTATGTGTGGCGACCGACAAAAGACAGAAATGAGAAGCTACATAAATACAACCATTTACCCTCCCCGTCTCGAATGAAAGCTCAAAAAGAATAGCAACAAATCAAAATGTCAACAAAGTGAGTCCGAAATGAATGTGTTGACATACGAGATTCGAATATCAAACCCCCCGTGGAAATGAATCGAACCATCACAGCTCCATCGGCTCCGCTCTAAAATGCAACGGCAGCCATAACAAGTGCGGCCAACCCTCCGATCATCATCTTCTGCACACTCCTCGAGCTCTCTGCGCCACTCTGCATAAACACATACATAATCGATTAAGCACACCGCATTCTCTGATTTTTCAGGGGACAATTGATCATTGGGTCATAATTCAAGAGGTTTCAGTAAGATCTCAACGAATCTATCACTACAAACACAGAGATTTCCTAATCCCTATCTATACCTTACTAGATCTGATCTCTCAGTGAGGTGCTCGCCGTCGAATTCCGCACTACCTACTATTCCTATTTCTAGATCTGAGCACACAATCAAAATTTCAAACGGCTTACCTCATCGGCAACGACGGGACCAGAGGCGTTAGCTTCAGCACTAGGTCCGGGGGCGCCGACAGGAGGAGCGGGAGGGCTCGACAATGAAGGCGACGGAGCCGGAGATCCGCTCTCCTTCTTCGACTTCTTGCTGGGAGCCGGTGCCGGGACATCGGCAGCAGGAGGAGAAGCGGTAGGCGTAGCGGCGGCGACGGGAGCAGGAATAGGAGGAGCAGTAGCCGCTGTAGGCGAAGGAGAACTGACTGGAACTGCAGCTGGAGGAGAGCTGACTGGAGTCACCGCTGCTGCTGGTGGCGTAGCGACCGGTGCTGCGGTTGGAGGAGCGGAGGAAGGAGTAACAGCCGTCGAATCCGAGAACAAGCGTCATACTCTTGCCCTCCATTTTTTCTGGCGAATTATAGAGAGCACAAGTAGTCGAGAGATTAGAGAGAGAGATGTGAAAGAGTTGTGAGTGTGGGAGGGGAAGAGCCGAGTGTGTGATTATAGGAGAGAGAGAATATCATTTGCAACGGACGGATGTCTGATCGATCTGGATCGTTGATTTTGGGGTGGAGGAGCCCGCAGTACAGCCGTTGGATGAGAGTGTGGGGCGTTTAGCGGTGAATTTGGCTGTTTGGTGAATCAAAAGGAAGGGTCCAACGGAAACAGCGAGAGGCCTTTGGTTCTGCTTCTTCTCTGTGAACTGTGATGTTGGGCGAGTAGCTGGGTGGGCTCGCAGCAGGAGGATGGGGGTTGGGGCGGGCGGCGATTGTGTGCATCAACGCATGTGCTAAGTGGTGCCACTTCGGCTCAAACAACCTTTCTTTTTTGTCTTTAACAAATGAATTGATCAAATCATCATTTAAACTAGCCGTTATAAATTATCATCTCTGGTACCACTTTTATAGTGCGGTTAATGATTGCCATAGTTTGGGTTCAGCTCGTTAAAATTCCAAGCTCGAGTTCGGTTCGAGTTCGTCACGAGTTTTAATATGCAAGTTCTAGCACGGCTCGTTTATGAAAACGAAAGGTCGAGCTCAACTTGAGCTCCACATAAGCATAAATAGTTCAAAATCAAGTTCAACTTAGAAAATGTTCATGATAGCTCAAGTTTTTTTTTTTTTTTTTTTTGACAACATGATAGCTCAAGATGGAGGTAGAAATGAGCACAAAATTACATTCAAACCTGTAGCAAAGTCTCTAAGAAAATAAAACACAACATTTATCCCATTTTCAATACATAAATGCCATGAATTCCAATCTTTTATGATGTTAAACAGTTAATGAGCTTGTTCGCGAGCTTTCGAGCTCAACATGGTATGACTCGAGTTCAGTTCGTTTAGTTAAGAAGTTTGTTCGCGAACCAGCTCGATTAACACGAATCGAATGTCGAACGAGTTCTTCTCGAGTCGGACGACGTGTCGTTCATTAACAGCTCTACACTTTCATAATCCATTTATTGGGCTTCCAACACAATATGTTGTGAACAGTTGGATCAGGAGCGGATTGGACGTATAATGATAATATTGTAAATAAAATGTTACCATGTTCACTCAACGATTATAAACGTTTAAAGACTTTTTTCTTACAAAAGATAATTTTTAATATTGATTGAAAAAGAGATCAGTACATTCTGAAATTTAACCAGGCCATAAAATAAATAAAAAAGACACGTAGTCGGGTACAAAAAGAGGATCTTTCTAGCTGATAGACCCAGTTCTTAACCGATAAAATTTTAAAATATTAAACACCTGTCCTTTCATTAATACACTCGATAAATTGTTAATCATTGCGGTACCCGAAATACCAAAAAATTTGTATTATACCATCAGAATCCTTCATTGTTTTTTTCCTTTAACTACTGTTATTGTTTTTTCCTTTACTCACTTTCTTATTTTTTCCTAAACTTATTATTTGTACTTTTCCATAACCATTATTCTTGTCTCATTCTTCCTTCCTTTTCCCTCTCACCCATTTGTTTTGTCCACATGTGTCCACATGAGAAAGATACAGACATCATTCCTTACTCCTCATTTCCCCAATTTTCCACTACTTTCTTCTATTTTCTTTCACTTTCACTTTCCTTCCCTCTCTCCCACAAGTGGCAGGCGCCACCTCATCTCCCTCCCTTCCTATTTCTTTCCACACTCCCTCTTACGTAAAATTCCTTCTTCTCCCTACCATTTCCTACATTTTCATGCATGTTCATGCATACACATACATACAATTTCCATCACTACTCTTTCCTTCAATTTCCACTACATATCTATACTTCTCCTACTTTCACATACACCCTTACACTTTCTCAAATACTATACTTGATAAGGAATGCTGGTGTATGACGGAGAATATTGAGGTATAGCGGAGAATATTAACGATTATAGGAGTATAGCGGAGAATGTTGGTGAATGTTAACGTAAGTTGAGGAATTCAACAACTATTTTTTCCTATAAATAGGGAGCACCCCTCCCCCTTTCTAAACGACAAGTCACACACACTACCACATAAGTCGCTTACGACTACTTCACACAACACAACTCACACATACACTCTCTCTACTTTCTCTCTCTAAAAACGTTTTCTCTCTCCTCTCGATCTCCCAAAACGTGTTAAATCTCTAAACACTCAACACACCCACAATTTGGCGGACTAAGCCATGGAATCGTGGATAGTCTCCACCGGGCGGCATTAAATAGCCGACGACGCTCAATTACGACCGTGGGACCGAACCAGGTCTAACGTAATCGTATTTATTTTGTTCCATTCAGGTTACTAATTTGAGCGTCGGAGGAGGTTCCAACCAGGACCCCCCCGGTGGGACCTTTTTTCAGGTATTCGCACGGAGCTGGAGGTGGTTAAAGGCTTTGGGAAATCAGCGCTCTCCGGACCTTAAACATATTGAAGCAGGCTGCTCTAAGCTTGGCATCAACAATTGGCGCCCATCGTGGGGCCCGGTGAGAAGAATATTTCCAAAGTTTTCACAAACCACCACCCAGCCGTGATGAATACCCAAGGCTCTCCCAGTATTCCTACCATTGAAGCAGTACGTCGCTCTTTAAGAGTAATCGAGACTGGGGGCAACCCAACCCCCCGTTCACCACTCAGCGATGCACCGAGTCAAAATACAGAGTCTCGAGTGGTGCCACTTGCACAGACTACTTCTATTCCGACACCAGAAGGAATTCTCACCCCTACTCCGGCACAAGTACGTGAGATGCAGGCTGAGATTGAGCGACTCCGAGCTCAACTCAGAGCCAGAGAGGCCTCCCATATTAACGCTCCTGGTTCCTCCAGAGTACCGACACCAAACGACCAGGAGAGAGTTGTTGCCCATGGCTCGATCAATGAACCACCAAATGCGACATCAGCACCTGTTGGATTAACCGCTCCGAGTCTCTCAGCCAATCTGCTCGAACCTTCCCTAGGACACGGAGTTGTCACTTCAACCGGAGTAGGAGGACCTCTATCCAGAATCGTGCAGGATGAGCCCTACCCATCAAATCTTCATTTACCAAGCTTGCCAGAGTATTATGGCACCACAGATCCAGAAGACCACCTTTGCTCTTTTCAAATCCTAATGCCATTAATCGGAGCATCTGATGCAACAATGTGCAAAATCTTCCCAGCAACACTCCGTGGAGATGCCCGAAGATGGTACTCAAAGTTACAAGATGGTATTATCTCCAGCTTCGAATTTGCCACTCTCTTCAGATGCAAATTCTACGCACAAAAAAAACAACCTATCAGCATCCATCAACTCCTCAGCATCAGGCAGCGTGATGATGAGACACTCAAGGCTTACTATACTCGATATAATAACATCGCCATCGGACTAACGTCCATCTCCACGGAGATTGCCACTAATGCCCTGATGCGAGGGACTATCAATGCTGATTTATATGCTTCTCTTGCAAAACGGGCTCCCCACAGCACTATGGAGCTTCAAGAGCGAGTTTCAAAATATATTGATCTAGAAGAAGCACTTCAGGAGGTTAGTCGGGCAGGATCCAAAAGAAAAAAAGAGACTTCATCCCAAGATTCCCGCTGACAACGTCAAGCTCCTGCGGCCGAGGGCCGAAACTCTTCCCAAAGTTCGAGAAGGGAAGCTACCCAGTTACAACAAAGCTATACTCCTCTCAATCGCTCTAGACAAGCCATTCTTCAGGTCATTCGAGAGAAGAAAATTCCCATTACTCAACCTCCTCCAGTTATGAGGGTTTCAGGAAAGGGCCAACAATTCTACTGCGAATTTCACCGATGTACGGGACATGATACACAAAACTGTTACACCCTCAAGCACTCTATTGAAGGACTTATCCAACGAGGCTATCTTCGAGACTTTGTAAAGAATGTTCGTCCCCCTATTCTCCCTTCACCTCCAATAATAGACAAAGGAAAAGCACCACAGGGAAGTGGATCGATATTGGGAAATGTTCCTGTCATTCATGGCGGGGTCAAATTATCCGAACAAGTTGGTTCTCGCTCAACCGGTGCCCCAAGGTTGGTCGGTTCCGCTTCTACCACACAAATTCCCATTTCTTTCGACGATAGGGATCTTGAAGATATCGAGTATCCTCATGATGATGCCTTAGTCATTAAGGCAGTAATTGCAAACTATTCTGTGCAACGAGTCTTCATTGATGGAGGAAGCTCTGCAGATCTTTTATTCTACCCAGCTTTCAAGTCCATGGGTCTTCAACTAAACAAATGTCACCCTCCTAGCATTTACCTCGTGGGCTTCTCCGGAAATCAAGTCCCAGTTCTGGGAATTCTCCCACTCCAAGTTCGTATTGGCAATAACCAACAAACCGTGGAGAACACAATCAACTTCCATGTTATTGACTGCCCTTCTGCATACAACTGCATTCTCGGGCGCCCTTTTCTACATCAAGTTCGGGCTATACCCTCAACTTTGCACTTAAAATTGAAGTTCCCAACTATTGCCGGAGTCGGGTGTGTGAAGGGAGATCAAGCTCTTGCACGACAGTGTTGTGAGTTCTCCCTTAAAGATGGCTTTGTGGCCACGATGGAAGCCAAAGACGAGGTCGCTCGTCCTGTTCCCGTTGACCCTGATGAAGAACATACATTAGAAGAAGGGCGAACCGTTCGTGTATCCATGGCATGGCCTAAAAATTATCTCCCACAACTTCTCAGTTTGATGATCGAGTACAAAGAGCTCTTTGCTCAAGGACCTGAGGATATGCCTGGTCTCGATTCAAAAGTTGCCGAGCATACACTAGGGATTATCCCCGGTAGCAAGCCCATCCAACAAAAAAGAAGGAACTTTGTGTCAGAACAGAAGCGTGCAATCGATAATCCAAATCAAAATGAACGAACACAAATTTAACGTGGTTCACTAACACAATGTGTGCTAGCTAATCCACGGGCAGAGGAGACAAATTTCACTAATTTGAGGAGAGTACAGGTTACAAACCAAATTCCAAATGGACAAACCAAACAAACTAACCTGACTGACCTTACTACAAACTAGGGTGATGAAGAGTATTTATAGAACTCTTCTCCTAATCCCAAACAGAAAACCAAATACATTTTCCCAAACATACAAGGAAAAGGTCAA